AGCTAGCATGATGTTTTCATGGCTTGTCCATTTTTTGATGTCATTGCTACGCTAGATCCTTGCACATCCCGGTACTCGCTGGAGGCATTCATATAGAGTCATATCTTTGTTCCAGTACCGAGTTGCAATATTGAGTTGTAAGTAAATAAAAGTGTGATGATCATCATTGTAGAGCATTGCCCCATGAAAAAAAATGAAAGGCCAAAGAAGCCTAAATAAAAAAAAGGGGCCAAAGAAGCCCATCCAAAAAAAATAAAAATAAAAATAAAAGAAAAGGGGCAATGTTACTATCCTTTTACCACACTTGTGCTTCAAAGTAGCACCATGTTCTTCATATAGAGAGTCTCCTATGTTATCACTTTCATATACTAGTGGGAATTTTCATATACCAGGTGGGCGCGCCCCCCACCCTCCTGGGCACCCCGTAAGGCGGTTGATGCCCTTCTTTGGCCGCAAGAAAGCTAATTTTTGGAAAAAGATCTGGACGAAGGTTTCAATCCAATCGGAGTTACGGATCTCCGGATACAAATGAAACGGTGCCAAGGTAGAATCCCAGAACACAGAAACAGAGAGAGACAAAGAGATAGATCCAATCTCGGAGGGGCTCTCGCCTCTCCCAAGCCATGGGAGCCAAGGACCAGAGGGTAAACCCTTCTCCCATCTAGGGAGGAGGTCAAGGAAGAAGAAGAAGAAGGGGGCCTCTCTCCCCCTTGCTTCCGGTGGCGCCGGAGCGTTGCCGGGGGCCATCATCATCACCGCGATCTTCACCAACACCTCCGCCATCTTCACCACCATCTCCATCACCTTCCCCCATTTATATTCAGCGGTCCACTCTCCCGCAACACGTTGTACACTCTACTTGAACATGGTGCTTTATGCTTCATATTATTATCCAATGATGTGTTGCCATCCTATGATGTCTGAGTAGATTTTAGTTGTCCTATCGGTGATTGATGAATTGCTATGATTGGTTTGAGTTGCATGTTTTATTATTGGTGTTGTCCTATTGTGCCCTCCGTGTCGCGCAAGTGTGAGGGATTCCCGATGTAGGGTTTGCAATATGTTCATGATTTGCTTATGGTGGGTGGCGTGAGTGATAGAAGCACAAACCCGAGTAAGTAGGTTGTTTGCATATGGGATAAAGGGGACTTGATACTTAATGCTATGGTTGGGTTTTACCTTAATGATCTTTAGTAGTTGCGGATGCTTGCTAGAGTTCCAATCATAAGTGCATATGATCCAAGAAGAGAAAGTATGTTAGCTTATGCCTCTCCCTCAAATAAAATTGCAATAGTGATTACCGGTCTAGTAACGTAGTTAATTGCTTAGGGACAATTTCACAACTCCTACCACCACTTTTCCACACTCGCTATATTTACTTTATTGCTTCTTTATCTAAATAGCCCCTAGTTTATATTTACGTATTCTTTATTATCTTGCAAACCTATCCAACAACACCTATAAAGTACTTCTAGTTTCATACTTGTTCTAGGTAAAGCGAACGTCAAGTGTGCGTAGAGTTGTATCGGTGGTCGATAGAACTTGAGGGAATATTTGTTCTACCTTTAGCTCCTCGTTGGGTTCGACACTCTTACTTATCGAAAGAGGCTATAATTGATCCCGTGTACTTGCGGGTTATCAGACGCACCTGTCATGGGCTCGAATCCGTCGGAGATCAAGTCTCCGCGGATGTCGGCAATGTAGTTCAAGCTTCCAAATCTGACCTGATGGCCAGGGGCATAGCTATCGATCTGCTCCAGATGGCCAAGCGAGTTGGCCCGCAGTGCGAAGCCGCTGAATCGAAGATCTATCCGGGGAGGAAAGCCTCACCCTGGATCGCATCGTTGTAGATGTTTGAAGGGGCCATCAAGCCTTACCGTGACGACACAGGGGAACTCTCAATGAAAGCACCAATGTCGGTGTCAAAACCGGCGGATCTCAGATAGGGGGTCCCGAACTGTGCATCTAAGGCTAATGGTAACAGGAGGCGGGGGACACACTGTTTACCCAGGTTCGAGCCCTCTCTATGGAGGTAACCCCCTACTTCCTGCTTGATTGATCTTGATGATATATGAGTATTATAAGAGTTGATCTACCACAAGATCATAGAGGCGAAACCCTAGAAGCTAGCCTATGGTTATGATTGTTGTTGTCCTACGGACTAAACCCTCCGGTTTATATAGACACCGGAGGGGGCTAGGGTTACACAGAGGCGGTTACAAAGAAGGAAATCTACATATCCGAATTGCCAAGCTTGCCTTCCACGCAAAGGAGAGTCCCACCCGGACACGGGACGAAGTCTTCAATCTTGTATCTTCATAGTCCAACAGTCCGGCATAAGCATATAGTCCGGCTGTCCGAGGACCCCCTAATCCTGGACTCCCTCAGTTCCCTCGAGCTTGCACAAGTTCCTTTCCTCCTCATCACTATCATCCATCCTAAGCATTGCCGCCTTCTTGGGTGCAGTCTCTTGATCCCTCAACTTCTACTTGTCAAAAGTTTGAAGGATTGCCCAAACATGCTTAAATGAGAATGCTTTGCCCTTGGAAGCGACCATCTCCTTGTACCTCAAGCCGACAATTGCCTCCTACAAACCCACCAATAGCATAGTAAACACACATAAGAACCTAACAATAGCATAGAAAATCAGAATAGATGTGAAAACACACACATGTACTCACATAGTCACTCTCCACGGTTCCGCTGGGCGGTGCATCCTTCACTTGGTCCATTGCCGCACTCCAACGAGCACATTGGGGCTTCATCAACTCCCACCGCCTTTGAAGCGACCGGTATGTACGAGAGATGTACCCACCGGTCTTCGGCTTGATCTTGCAATAGGTGTCCTCTATGCGTTGCCAATAGCGTTTACCGGTTTGATTGGTACCGGTGCTTGCATCCATCCCCACATGTGCCCAAGCACGAACCAAGAGAATATCTTCGGCCTCGCTATAGTTTGTCGAGGCGCGGGCAACGGCGGCGAACGCCTCCTCCTCTATCTCGGTCACCTCCTCCTCATCTTCCCCTTCCTCCTCCTCAGCACCCTCTTCCTCCAAGTCATCACCAAACCCAAAGGGTTTGAGAGGAGCAGCCCCGAGGTCCACCTCCGTGCCTTGGAGAAGTCCCATGAACGACGTCATCGTTGTGGGCATACCGTCGAGCACCTCATGCACGACGGGCAGAGGGTCGGCGATTGGGGGCGCGGGTGCGATCTTCTTCCGGGAGGTGGTCCTCTTCACGACCGGGGTCCCTCCCGCGGCGAGCTTGGCGACCGTAGCACCCTTCGGCCCAACCGACGACGTCTTCCGATGACGCTTGGTGGTGGGCGGCTGCGGCGGGGCGAGTTCGGGCGGGGCGAGGGAGGAGGCGGGGGCCAGGGCGACTGTGGGCTGCGGAGGGACGACATGCTGGCCAGCACGCCGCCGCTTGGCGCCGAGGA